TACTTCATGTGACAGGGTTCATTATTAGTCAAGAGAAAGACTCTTCAAAGCTTATGTAGCTCTCCTGGTCAATCTGAAATAGAAGTTCTAGTAGATGCAACCCACTCAGGGCACAGAAATTTGTTGTCTATGTAAGCACCATGTCTTGCTAAAAAGTTTCGAAGCTTGGAAGGATGTTTGTCAATGGAAATATACACTAGGGAGAGAGAGCAAAACCATGCTATGCAACTCATCCCCGCCCCCCCCCAACACTGAGAATCTGTGGGCAATATTTCTGTCATCATCTCTGTAAAAAACAGCTATTGTTAGAGGAAGAAAGTTGTAGCCTTTGGCTGTGTTGAGTAGAAAAAAAAAAGTTGAAAACAATCAACCTAAAATCAGAACTGACTTTCTGTTATCAAATATAACCATCATTTACGGGCAATGGAGAACTCTGTGTGTTATTATAGTCAAGCCTGCCAGAGAGTAAGTAAAAGAATGGCAACCTTCACCTATACCCACGATTTTCAGATCTTGCGCTCCACCAGGCTATAACAATCCGCAGACATATACAAAATCTTCCTTGAGCTAGGAGGTGGTTGTTCATTCCACAAGAACTGTAAATGTGGCTGGAATTTATTCTTTACTCCATATATAAATACACCACCAGGTAATTTATTCATTAGAGGTCATATTTAAAGCCTAGCTCTATGATAAAATTCCTAAAGTATAGATTAGTAGGTGAGTAAGTTTTGGTCCTAATTCCACATAGGAATATGTATAGTCCGGCATTAGAAAAGTTAACCAGTGGCTCACTCCCTAAAATTTTTAGCATGTAGTGTTAAAATCCACAAAGCCGCTTCAACTTTCAGAAAGACCCTCAGTGATATAAATAATACTTTTTCTCAGTCACCTTGGCCAAACTATAGTATCTAGTGGTTTAACCAAACATTTCAAATTTGCCAGTTACCACAGTCAGATGAGCCAATTCTTCAAAAGAAATCTCTTTTAACACATATATTACATGTTTAATATCTATGTAATATATGCACATATGTACATACATATATAGAATACTTACATAACATGTATAAATGCCATATGTGCATACATCTTTATACATATAGATCTTGCTGGTTCTGTTTCTCTTCAGAATCCAAATGAACCACTTGCATCCATGTTGTACTCCATGTCTGAATTTCCTCCTGGAACATTTGCTTCTAATAATTGCTATGGTCTTAGAATCTGGGCTTGGGGCCTGCGGCGTGGGACACTTGGTTAATCCTCTGCCTGCTGCACCAGCATCACAGATGGGCACCAGGTTCTAGTCCCGGTTGTTCCTCTTCCAGTCCAGCTCTCTGCTGTGGCCCAGGAGGGCAGTGGAGGATGGCCCAAGTGCTTGGGCCCCTGTACCTGCATGGGAGACCAGTAGGAGGCACCTGGCTCCTAACTTTGGATTGGTGTAGCTCCGGCCATTGCAGCCATTTGGGGAGTGAACCAACGGAAGGAAGACCTTTCTCTCTCTCTCTCTCTCTCATTGTCTGTAACTCTGTCAAATAAATAAATAAATAAAAATCTTTAAAAAATGATTCTGGACTTGAAGTTGAATTCTCTATTCTTTTCTCCTAGTAGGAGACTCAGTTAACTTTCTGCCTGAGTCTATGTGACTCTCCTTTAACTTTTCTATTCATCCTTCCCAGGGGTCTTGTGGGAGTTTGCTTCTGAAGATTCACATCTGAAACTCTCTTTGGGCATCTTTCCTTCAGTTTCTGAAACTCTTTCCCAAAAGAGCCTAGGAGTTCATGTCTTTCTGTTTGCTCCTAGCCAATGACTGACTGGTGTGGGTATACGAAAGCCCAGATCCTCACCTTAAGCTGGATTGAACTCTTAAAAGCAATTCACTCTCCTGAGGTCCCAGTGAGATCAGAACTGAGTTTGGGACCCTGCAGTACTCCTCCTTGACTTCCTGTGCTGCTTCCTCCCTCCCTTACTGGCCTGTTCTAGAGAAGTTTCCTCATCTCAGGGCTTTTATGGACAAACACAGCCTAAAGCTCTCCTTGTATCTTCTTTTGGAGGGCCTACCCCTCGTTCAGCAGATAATCCCATAAAAAGTCGAAATTTTAGTTAGTCCTGGACACATGAGGTGGATTCAGATGGATCTGCCAAAATATTAAATATAGAAAATACTGGATTGACACAGTCACAGCATCTCAGGGTAATAAGAAACATAAGGTATTTCATTCCAATTTCTACCTAGTTAGGAATTCTTTCTCTAACACATCTGGAAAGTGGTCACCAAATTCTTTTTGAATAGTGTATTCTTTTATAAGTACCTTGTCCTTTTGTTGGACAGATAAGGGTTAACCTTACACTGAATCAATCTATCCCCCATAAATAAAACTTATTTTTAAAATATGTATTTATATATTTATTTGTTTGAGAGACAGAGAGTTCCCATTTGTTTGTTCATGCCTCACACACCTGCAAAACCAGGGCTGGACCAGGCCAAAGCTAGGAGTTGGGAACTCAATCCAGGTCTCCCCTGCAGGAGTCAACTCACTTTAACCATCACTACTGCCCACCAGGCTCTGCATTACCAGGAGGTTGGAATCAGAAGCTGGAGCCAGGAATCAAACCCAGATACTCTGATGTGGGACATGGGTATCTTTACCACCAGGCTAAGCACCTGCCTCGCATCACCTTTTTAAAACAAGAAGTCTTTTCTGTTTTAAAGAATTACATTGAAGGTGGACGAAGGAAGAGGACTCAGGGGCTTGCTTGTACCCGCCATTGCACAATGAACACACGAGCTTCCTTTGACACCTGCATTTAATCCAAGACCCCTCCCAGTGTTTGCCTTGTCTTCCACAGGGGCAGAAGGGCTTCACGACACAAAGGCAGGAAGACGGGGCATTTCAATGCTCAGCATAGGATAGACATGCAGCCATAGGTTAGCAAACCTCAGAGAAGCTACTGGTAAGAGTGTGATAACAGTTGAAAAGGTCACAGGCCGGCGCCGTGGCTCACTAGGCTAATCCTCTGCCTTGCAGCACCGGCACACCGGGTTCTAGTCCTGGTCGGGGCGCCGGATTCTGTCCCGGTTGCCCCTCTTCCAGGTCAGCTCTCTGCTGTGACCAGGGAGTGCAGTGGAGGATGGCCCAATTACCTGGCTCCTGCCATCGGATCAGCGCGGTGCGCCAGCTGCAGCGTGCTGGCCGCAGCTGCCATTGGAGGGTGAACCAACGGCAAAGGAAGACCTTTCTCTCTGTCTCTCTCTCTCTCACTATCCACTCTGCCTGTCCAGAAAAGAAAGGAAGGAAGGAAAGGTCACAGTCCTTATCCAATAGAACAAGCTCTATGAATGGTATACAATATTTGTTCCATCGAGTAAGACACTCAAAATCTATGAAGAGCCTCAGTGCTTAACCAGAGGAGGTGAGTCTTAGGGATCTCCTAATTAGTTGAAAATTTTCACTTCCGGGAAACATGACAGGAATACTAATTGCTTAAGTGAGGGGCTGATTTGAGCATGAAGACACACATTGGATCTAATTCCACATTCATGGAACTGTCGTCTAAGCATCTGAGACCTGGTGTAAGGCGCCCTCTGCCTGGCTGACCACCTGCAGGTACTTCAGTCATTGTCTAAAAGACACAGCTGGGCTCATTTTCTCTCCTCCCAGTCTCCCAACTGTTCACCCGCTTTTCTCCTCAGGGATCTCCCCGTCTACATTTCTTTCTGAGCTCTAGGTGCTTCTAAGCTGTGCATTTTGTTCCCCATCAAACTCTTTCTCTTTTTGAGGGCTGCAACTGGAGTGGAAATGATGATGAAGTCAACGCCCTTATTCTGGACTAAAAGCCAGCAAAACGTGCCCAACAACACTCTGTCCCAGCTCCTCCACACTCTTCCAGATTCCCCAGCGGCCAGCAGCACTGGCCTCTGCTGTTTCTCTGACATGCTAGACTCATCTCCACATTTTCTTTCTCTTGTCTCTGGAAACATCTTCCCCCCAGATTCTCACAGCTTCTTGAGGCTTCCACTCAGATACTGCCTCACAGGACATGCCTTCATCCACAACTCTGTAAATCTCTCCTGTGTTTGGACTCTTGGTACTTATCACCTTTTGGCATTTATAAGCTTCCTTGGGTCTTGTCTTTCTTCCCTGACAGATTAGTCACTAGGAGAGCAGAGAATTTGTCCATCTTGTTCTTAGCTGCCACCTGACACCTTGAACTGTAGCTGTAACTACTCAATAATTATCTTTTCAGTAAAAAAAAATAAGTCTACATGTTGCCAAGGTTCACATCTTAGGTTACTTCTTTATTGGGAATGTTTTTTAAGTTAGCAGAATATTTCTGAATCTTTTCTCCCAGTCATCTAGTTTTCTCCCCAGTCAACAGCAATAGGATGACTTCCTTATACATAATGCCAGTGAAACTTTTTGCACATGGTGGAAACTACACATGAATATATATTTTTACTCAAAAGGTGATATACTATATATACTATTTTACTAAGTGAACAATATAAGGTAGAAATATTTCACTCCACTGTAAGTGGATGTCTGCATGACCTCCCATGGAGTGGATATACCATAATATATTTAATTAGTCCCCTATTGTTGGACATGTAGGTTGTTCTTATTGTTTCTTTGTACATTTGTTACTTGGATCATTTTCAAGTACCAAATTGGAACACAGAAAATTGCAGACATTCAACAATTTTGGCCTATCTAAAAGACAGCTTCATTTCATTCAAGCTAATTGTCATTAAAAGGATAAATTTCTAGAAGTAGAATTATTGCATTAAAGGTGATGGATCAAACTGTCCTTGAAGGAAGATATGCAGATTCCCTTCCTATTTGCACACATTGCCTGGTAGCACAGAATCATATTAAAGGTTCTCAACATTACCAATTTGATAGGTAGAAAACAATGTTTCATTATAGTTTAATTTGTGCCTCTTCTATTAGGATAATACATGTATAAGGACCATTTGTACATCTGATCTTATGAATTACCAAAATCATTTGCCTAGTTTTCCTTCCAGATTTCTCGTTTTCATGTTGACCTGGAGTTGCTCTCAGTAGAACAGATGTTCTTGAAATCTGCAATATGAATTAAACATTTTTTAATGATTTTTTTTAATTTATTTGAAAGAGTCAAAGAGAGAGGCAGAGAGAGAGAGAGAGAGAGAGAGAGAGAGAGAGAGAGAGAGGTCTTCTGGTTCACTCTCCAAATGGCCCCTACAGCTGGAGCTGAGCCATCTAAAGTCAGGAGCCAGGAGCTTCTTCTAGGTCTCCTATGTGGGTACAGGGGTACAAGCATTTGGGCCATCCTCAACTGCTTTCCCAGGCCATAGCAGAGAGCTGGATCAGAAGAGGTGCAGCCGGGACTAGAACTGGTGCCCATATGGGATGCCAGCACTTCAGGCCAGGCCTTTAATCCACTGTGCCACAGTGCTGACCCCCAAACTGCAAATATTTACCCCAAATTTATGCTTTGTCTTTGACTTCATTTGTTTGTGAGAATTATATTTTTACATATATGGTTATATTTATGTTTTCATGTTAGTTTTTTTGTTATAAGAAATGACTTCCTTCCTTCAAGATTGCTTTTAAAGAATTCTTCCATACTTTCTTTTAGTATTTTATGGTTTCAATTTGTACTGAATCTTTTAAAAATATGGTGCTCATTTGTGTGTGGGGTGAGGTCAGGAGCTGGCTATAGATATTTTTTTCAGATGGCTTCCCCATTTTCCAAGTTCCATTTTTGAACAGCCAGTTTTACAGCTCTTTCATATATTAAGTTTTAATATGTATTTGGGTTTCTAGTTGGGATTTCTTTCACTGATCTTTCTGTGTACACATGTAACAATCCCACATTGTTTTAATTAGGGTAGAGGTATAAGCTTTAATACCTTAAGATGTAGGATCCCTTATCAGTCTATTTTTCAGTATTTTATTGACCCCACCTTTTGGTTTAATTTCATATACATGTTAGACTCAAATGTTCTAGATCCTACCAAAATGTTGAAATTGAATTTAATGAATCTATTATTTCTTCATGAAGCATAATGCTGGTTTTAAGGGTAAAACATATTTAAAATATATATTCATATGGCTATATGGAAATTAAAATGTACTCAGCTTTATCTCTCTCTCTCTCTTTTTTTTTACAGGCAGAGTGGACAGTGAGAGAGAGAGAGACAGAGAGAAAGGTCTTCCTTTTGCAGTTGGTTCACCCTCCAGTGGCCGCTGCGGCGGGCACACAGTGCTGATCCAAAGGCAGGAGCCAGGTGCTTCTCCTGGTCTCCCATGGGGTGCAGGGCCCAAGCACTTGGGCCATCCTCCACTGCACTCCCAGGCCACAGCAGAGAGCTGGCCTGGAAGAGGGGCAACCGGGACAGAATCCGGAGCCCCAACCGGGACTAGAACCCAGTGTGCCGGCACCGCTAGGTGGAGGATTAGCCTATTGAGCCGCGGCGCCAGCCAGCTTTTTCTCTTTATTAAAGATTTAATAAAATGAGCAATTGAATTTTCTATCTTTTCAGCATCTCTTGAGATAATCATGATTTTTCTCTCTTGATCTATTTCTATGATGAATCACATGGACGAATTCCCAACATTTCAATACCTTAGGATTAAGTCCCATTTGGTTATGATGTGTAACTCTATTAATGTGCTTCTGGATTCTGTTTGTTATCAATATAGATAACAACAATAGTTTGTCCCGCAATTCACTTTCTTCCACCTCTACATACATGGATAGTGTTTGCTTAGTTTGTTAACTTTGCAAAAGCAGAATTTCAAAAACTGCTTTATACCGCTGTGTTCTGGAACGGATTAAATAGCACTGAACTTACCTCTTCCTTAAAAGTTCGGTGCAATATCTGCAATGGTTCCTTTTGGAGGATATAACACTTTGACCATACTCACAGGTTTAATGGGTGCCAATGAAATTTAAGCTTTAGGGCCCCTTGTGTGAGATCCTAATAAGTCCTCAGAAGGGTCCTAGCAATTTGTTCTCAGGGTAATCTGGTTTCGAGAAATTTGCAAAGTAAGAGTTTTTAAAATCACAACTGGCTAAGGCTGCTTTCTCTTTCCATGCTGGTTTATGACGTCACTCTTCTGTTTTCCTCAGGTGGTGCTGTAGTGGCTGCAGATATCTGGGGGGACCTGGCTAAGGGAAGCTTGGGAAACTTGGAGATGTACTAACCAAATGCCCTACCAGGAAGCACTTGCAGCCTGGCTCAGGGGAGTGTGGCTTTACTCCAGCTGTTGGCACCTCCTTGCTGAGGTCACAGCCTTCCCACAGCAGCCTTCTCACCAGATGCCCGAGTGAGCAGTACAGAAAGACTCCAGCGCGCTAGGCCAAGGCAGTGACTCTGAGAGGAGGGACTGTCTCTGGGGCTCTCTGCATCACAGCAGGACAACTTCCTTCATATGCTCCTGCTTCCATCCCTTCTGTCACAGCTGCTGGTTCCTAATGAATACCTTGCACCCCAAATAGCCTCCCAGCATCTGCTTTTAAAGAACTCAAACTCTGAGAGTTGATTATGCTGTACATTTAATTTGGTTACAATGGGTCACAACACACACACACACCCACACACACACACGTGATGGTTTCAGTCACTTGTTTTGTTATATATTCATTTAGTTATTTCAAAGGCTGAGTGAGTGAGTGAAATTTTTCATCTGCCGATTCATTCCCCAGTTGTCTGCAACAGTCAGGGCTAAGCCAGTCCAAACCCAGGAACTATATCCAGTCTCCCACGTGAGTAAAAGGACCTAAGTATTTGAGCCATCATCTCCTAGGAGCATTAGCTGGAAGCTGGATAGAAGTTCGAATTAGTCAGAACTCAAAGCAGCACTCTGAGATCGGCCACAATGTCTGCTCCATTTCTTAGTTTTGTTATGTTATTGTTAGCAGATCTGCTGTGTAGTAATGGCTTCCAAGGCGTTCCCACTTCCCAGTATATCTACTTAGCTGGCATCATAACAAGAAAGTGCAAAATCAGAGATCATCTTGAGAGATGAATTAGTCCTATGGTGCTCATTTCTGGTAGTATCTGGGTTGACAGAAACCAAAGTGTGAAGTGCATGGAGCCAGAAGCTAATCTGCAGAAAAGTCTCCCAGTTGTCTCACACAGAGATGGTAAGCAAAATACTTGCTTCCAATCAGCACCCAGTCAAAATGGAAGGTTTCTGGTGGAAGGAAAATACTCAATAATGTTGCATATCACTTACAAAAGCATCAGACTTTTAAAAAAATCAAACTGTAAAAATCAGAACCTGGAATTCTTTTATGTAGGGCACAAATCTGCAGGAGTAGCAGAAATAGCAAAACATCTGTGTATGAAATCGCCTGTTTGTTCATTTGTTTTTGTATACTTACCTGTCAAACTGTGTCTTAGAAAGGGTGGGAGGAGGTAAGCAAATGGCATGCCAAATTACTACCCAAAACTGAAAAGTCCTGAATAAACAAGCATTCCAGCGACAGAACCACACATACTTATCAACATATCCATGCATGTAACTTGTGAGTAATTTGATTCCACAAGTATGAAGCACAGCGCAACATAGCAGCAATTTTAAAATGCATTTGAATTGCTTGAGGTAATGAGTAACAGCAATTCAACAGTATTTAGGATTAGCCAGTGCACATGAAAACTGAAAATACCTATCTTACATGTGAAAGAGACTAATGGTGTTTTTTTCTAAATTTGCCAATAATCCTAAATTGTTTTTGCATCTCAGTAATGAACTGTGAAGCTGAAAGACACTTTGAGACAATGATAAAGAACAAAGTTTAACATTGCCAGAGCAAAGATCAAATTACTTTTTTCATCTTTCTATAGCAAATGATACTCAAAAAGGATCGCTATAATATGGCGCAAAGTATGTAGCCAAAAACTGTCATAGAAATGCAATAATTAATAAAAATATATTAATTACCTCCATTTTGTAATATTTGCATCTGGATTTACGGTTTTGTTTGTAGTTTATTCTTTTTATATTTTCATTGCAAGTAAGCATTTACTTTGCTATCTTTTTTTTTTTTTTTCTGGACAGGCAGAGTGGACAGTGAGAGAGAAAGACAGAGAGAAAGGTCTTCCTTTGCCGTTGGTTCACCCTCCAATGGCCGCCGCAGCTGGTGCACTGCAGCTGGCGCACTGCGCTGATCCAATGGCAGGAGCCAGGTGTTTATCCTGGTCTCCTATGGGGTGCAGGGCCCAAGCACTTGGGACATCCTCCACTGCACTCCCTGGCCACAGCAGAGAGCTGGCCTGGAAGAGGGGCAACCGGGACAGAATCCGGTGCCCCGACTGGGACTAGAATCCGGTGTGCCGGTGCCACAAGGCAGAGGATTAGCCTAGTGAGCCACGGTGCTGGCCACTTTGCTATCTTTTTACGTTCCAAAAACATGTACCATTTTGGTAAAGAGGGTGACAAAACTGTTCACATTTTGAGACCAAAAAGCTAGAATTCACTTCTACTCTTATGTGAAAGGACAAATCTGCCTCTGATGATATTTGGCCATTTCAGACTTTCTATTTCCTCCAGGGTCAGTTTTAGTACACTAGGTTTTCCCAGATAATAATTCATTATAATCATTCATTTTTTTCAGTTTTACAACTGGTTTACTTATTTTTACGTTAAGTAGTCTCATAATTTTTTAATTTCTTCTGCCTATTCTGACTTACCTCTTAGATTTAATTTGTATGCTCTATTTTTCCTGATTTGACTATTCAATGGTGTTTACCTACTTACTGTCCCCTCCCCTTAAAAACTTGGCTTTTACTCATTAGTTCAATTATTTTTAGTTAATTGCTGCTCCTATTGTTATTCTTTCTTGCCTAGTGTGCCTTTTTAAATTATTTTATTTTCAATCATTGCTTGTTTTAAAGTTGTCTCTTTTCTCAGCATAGAATTGAGTTTTGCTTTGAAACTTGACTATAGTTCTTAAACAGTTGTAATTAGCCCATTTACAGTTATTAATATGTTCAATATGTTAAGTTTAATATTAACAACATATTGTGCTTTTTGTTGGTATTGATATTCTTGAATATAAAAATAATTTCACTGGGGGGGGGGTGCCAGGA